TCTGTTTTGGAAAAAATAGAAGTTTATAACCTCTGTTGAGTTGTTACTGCTATTGAGGTTCTGCTACAGAGGTTTCCCCTCATATTTGTCCTGCTGGCAATGTTTTAGTGGCAGGAAATAAGGAGAACTCTCCAAATGCAACATGGACCAAAATAAAAATGCCTTTTTTGGTAGAGTAGCGGAAAGACAGAACCTCTGTCAGGTTTTGACTGCTATCCAGGGCATCCTTATTTTCTGTCCTGCTGAAATTTTTGAACAAAGAGAGAAAAAAATAATTAATTATTTATTTACTAAAGGAGGGGGACAGCTAGAATTCCTGTTAGTTTTTTTTTTCTGTCTATGCCCCTGCTGCATATTTTGCTTAATTTTCTGCCTGGTATGCATGTTACTTTATCTAATATCGGCTCCATCACACCATTATCACATTTTCAAATTTTGAATTTTTTTTTTAAAACACAAAATAGCTGATTCCCCCCCTCCTTTCCCACCTAGGCAAGAAAGTCATAGCCTCTGCTACTTCACTCATCCCAGGAAACTTTGTGACAGTTTACACCACACTGCACATGTGCTGCATTGTGTCATCAGCCTGAAACAACTAAGAACAGCCAGCCAGCTCCCTGAAAAATGTAAGAAGAGATGGGGAGCGGGATCTGCTTATCCAGTAATTGGTGTGTGCAGGGGCGGACTGACCATTTGGAAACTCAGGGACCCCATGAGATGCCCCTGGTACCTTTTTCATAGGCTTTTTTGAGTTTGGGCAAGGACACAGGGGCCCCATGATCCCCTATTGCCCGGAGGCCCCATGAGTTGTCAGTCCACCCCTGGGTGTGTGTGTGTATCACAAACAGAGCAAAAACAAGTGGTGGGCCATGAGGGAGCCATGCCAGGCACAGTGCTGGTGGTTGTGGTAATGGTGGAGGGTGCTCCTTCATTGCATGCTCCAGATCACTGGCTGGCAACCACTGGGCAGTGGCTTCAGGGCTGCTTTGATATCTACTGCTGTCACACCATGCTCCAACATGCTCTGTCTCTCTACCCCATTCGCCCGAAGTTGACATGATATACACACTGTGCATGTGCAACTAGTCCATGCTAACCATGGGTAGCCAGAGCAAGAGGTCAGAAAATGGACGCAGGGTGGTGCCCTCATTCTAAGTCATGCATTAACAGCAGGGAAAGGAACCTGTTGCAGAACTGATCACGAAGACTGTTACGATTAACAATACTACTTTGAGATACAGAACCATCAAACATACTAAATGTATGTGACACAAATCGCTTATACACACCATTAGGCGTTTAGTGGTTTCCAGTATAATTCACCTTTCACTCCACTCTTCAGTATAACTCAACTTTCACTCCAATATAGGGTTGCCACCTCATCCCTTTAAAACCGAACACATTAATTACACAGGTTCTGTGGCTGATTAAGGCAGTAATTAAAATGACTTAGTGCCTTATCTGCATTTAAGTTAGCATCAGAACCTGTGTAATTAATATGTGTTTTGATTTTAAAGGGATGAGGTGGCAACCCTACCCCAATATGGGTGTCAATACATTGTTAACAACACCTCAAATGCAGATTGCAAAAGTTGCATTTGGGGTGATACATTTTTCAAAAGTAGTGTACACACTAGTTTTTGTGCAATCCGCTGTGATTTCAGACCAGGGGTGGACTGACAACTCATGGGGCCCCCGGGCAATAGGGGAGTATGGGGCCCCTGTGTCCTTGCCCAAACTCAAAAAAGCCTATGAAAATGGTACCAGGGGCATCTCATGGGGCCCCCTACTGACCCTAGGCCCTCGGGCGGTGCCCAAGTTTCCAAATGGTCAGTCCGCCCATGTTTCAGACCCATTCACATGAATGGGCTGGAAATCTCACCGCAGAACGAACAGGAATGGGTATTCTAGAGTGAACCAGCAGTAAACAAGCAGCATAACTCCATTGTCCTTTTGGTTTCATGTGAGATGCTGCACTTCATCAACATACTAGCAACCCTAATACAGAAAGCAACCAAATTCTACAAAACCCTTCCCTATGCAAGACAGTAAAGCAAATTGAATTGTATAGAATGCAAAATGTTTTTATGTATGTTAATAAATAAAATAATACATTAAAAACTGTTGAATTTATTGGCCTTTGTAGGAGATGTCAACTGTATAAAGGATAGGCTTCTCTAAATTTTTGGCTTTAGTTTATTCATGTATGTTTAACTAGTTATCTTATCTGTGCTTTTTTTGTGTTATCAGCTCCTAACAGTTCCTTTAAAATGTGAAAAAACTGGTATGACCAGAGCAGCCAGTCAGTCAGTGTCCTCTTTAATTCCTTTAGCACTAGAGTACCGTAGTTGTATGGGAGTGTATGTGGGTTCTCTTGGGCATCTATTCCACTTATTAAACAACAGGCTACCCAAACTCACAGAGTATTTGGTAATTGAAATTATCCAGCTGCTCATTCTCAATTTCCCCAGTACTCCAATAATCTTTGAATTAGGATGCTGCGCTGCCACTCCTAAAACTTGGAAAAATTTGTGATATGTGAGTGTAGTAAATCCCAGTTTAAAAAGGTACGTGTTTAAAAAAGTGTACCGTGCTACAATACACCCCCCTCCTCAATGAATAAATGTGTAGTCACAGCTCTAAAAAAACGAACATAATAATATGTGTATCGTGCTACAATGCACCTCTCTCCTCAATGAGGACACCCGTACAACACTCTTTGATAAATAAATCACTTTGTGATGAAAAACACCTATTAAACAAATATGTTAATATTGAAGGGACTACAATACACCTTCCCCTAATGCAACACACTGAAATATTGTGCTAGATAATGTAATTAAAAAAGGTCAATATATAGCAATCCAGTATGTGTCAGTTTGTCTTTATAAAGTCCCGGTACTACAAAACACCTTCCACATCTTAAAAACAATGGTGACTCAGTGATATAGCTGGTGACCGTAGCAGGTAATTTGTGATTCTTCCCATTTCCTCTCCTGATGACGTCACGATGAAACGCGTTGGGCTGGGCTAATTGTGTAAGTTGCAACCGTGCATTGTAGCACAATACATCATGGAGTGTTGCATGGGTATCCTCAGTGAGGAGAGAGGTGTATTGTTATGTTCGTTTTTTAGAGTTGTGACTACACATTTATTGAGGAGGGAGGTGTATTGTAGCACAATACACTTATTTAATCACGTACCTTTTAAAGTGAGTTTCATACACTCACATATCACTTTAACTAATTTTTCACAGTTTTAGGAGTGGCAGTGCACCATCCTAATTGATTTATCACACTAACTTGTGTTAGTTGCTAGCAGAAGCCTACAGACCTTAAGAAACCCTGCACTACGGGGAGATTAAACAAAATATTACCTCCAATAATCCTGCATGTCTGTATCACATGGTAATAATAGACTTTACTGGGCTTTATCCATGGGAAAACAATAGCGTACATGCTGAAAAATCCAGATATTACCAAAATTTTAACCCAAATGCTCTTCTAAAAATATATGCTACAATGGCAGATACAGTTATGCTCAGACGTTTCATGGATTTTAATTCAGTTTGCTATGGGCACCATTAGATTGGCTGTAAACTCAAAAATTTAATCACCTGACCCATCTCTGTCATGGACAGCCTGATCTTATACAGATTTGATCATATAAGTGCACACTTAACAATCCCTTATCATTTAGAGATGATAAAAAAAAAAAAAAAAAAAAAAAACTTACATGTTAGCTACATACATGTGCCAATAAGATTATCGGGAGATCAGAACTCGCATTCAGTAGACACTCCTTCTTAACAAAGATCAGGCAGAAATTTCAGGGCAAGTCATGGATGCTTGATTTTTGGAAATTGTTGGTATAAAACTACTTTGTCTGCAGTCACTGTTCAGTTGAATTATTTCCACCCAGCAGGTGGTGTCATCGCAGCCACCCACGGTTCAAATTTTGGCTGATTCCTAAGGATCCGATGAAATTCGAGTTGTATATACTCCTAGATCTAACGAGCAGGGCCCTCTGGTTCCTCTTGTACCAAATTGTATTGTAACTGTAATGTCTACCTTCATTTTGTAAAGCGCTGCGCAAACTGCTGGCACTATATAAAACCTGTATAATAATAATAATATAGCAAGCTTTACAGTTATTGGACTATCCTTTTTACCCCCATGATTTGCTGAAGGCAAAGATGCTCCTTGTAAGATGGAGAATTTCTAACTTATTTCCTCATTCTTCCAGGTAGAAGAGTGAAGAACCACGACTACCGCATGTGCACCATTGTATCCATTGATTAAGTATCTCGGCAGTTCCTGGCATTGTTCAGAGATGTGCAAGAAAAAGCAGATATCTGCTTCTCAATGTTAAGCTTTTAGTTGCCTATAGACAACAGATGACCACTTATTTTTGTTTCAGATCAGGCAAAGAACTATTGTCTATGTGGTACCTGCAGACACCCCAAAGCTGAGGAGTTTCAGGGAAGGGGGTGTAGCGATTGTATGGGTATAAAACCTGATCTGAATGCTATTCTATGATAAGCTTACATTGGAGGTGTCTGCAGTGCGCCGTCGCCACCTCTCTGCAAAGGTTAAGGCCACCATTCATGTTTATGGAACTGGTGACAGCACACATGCCTGGTGGAGTTTGGATCGTGTTTGCACATCTGACAGCCATTTACTGTATATTAGAAAAAAAATCATATATAGTAGTAGAAGGAGCATTGGACCAAATGATAAAAAAAAGTCCAGATTGATTTATTGATTTGCACTAAAAGACAGCCAACACGTTTCAGAGTCAGAAAACACCCCCCCTTCATCAGGGCTACAGCAAATTAAAATATAATATAGATGTAATTGGTATAATCATAGGACAGACAACATTAAAAGATCATGGGTAAAACAAACACAAATATATATAAAAATATGTACACATACACAATAATACAAATATTGGCAGCTTATATCTAGATATTAACATTCGTAACCTTTAGCACTTACCCTGCCCTCATAAAGGCGCTCAATACTTTCATCAATCCACTTCTCCACGTCCAGCCTCTTTTGTAGCTCCTTGCGGTCATATTTGACCGTGACTCGGGCTTGTCTCCTCTGTATGGCTTGCCCTGAGTCTCTGTTCCTGGACGGAGAGTGGGTTTTATTAACCAACCTCTTCCCAACCTTATTTGCTGCCATCCTGGTAAGTCCTGTTCTAGCTGCCAAGGGTTGGTGGTCCTTCCTGCTCAGAGCAACAAAACCATACAATCAAAAATCACAATTGCTCACCCCACTTCAGAAGAACAGTTTCAGGTGTGGAATTCTATTTAGAAATAAAGTTTTAGCTTGACCTAAAAAGTCAACTTATATTTTTTTTTATCTAAATGAATATTGATAATCTGGCATTAACTGCGGATATACACAGTAGCTGGAAAGTATTGATCTCCAGTTTTAGTGATCGATCTTGTGATCCAGTCACTGATTTAATCCTAAATCCATTATCAGATATGCAACCAGACCTCTCAGTGTCGTCTCCACGTGTGCAGGGAATCCTAAGTGTCACAATGGTCCTATTGTGCTGGATGGAGCAGTGGTCCTCCGCTGTGCTCCCAGTGTTGGGTTGCTGTGTTCCTGGGGTGCTCTAGGTCAGCCTCCTCTCTCACATGCTGGTTTTGGAGCTGCACTGTGCTGTAGCAGTGTACACCCCAGCCCAGCCGCTCTCAAACTGACACTGCATAGCCCTGCACAATGTCTCTGAGTCTAAGGGGAGGGGCCCTTGTAAAAAATCACTGTAATGTGCAGCAAATGCTGCTTTTTGTCCCTAGACAGCAGGACACAGACCTCCCTTCTCTTTGTACACAGACAGGATATAGACCTCTCATCTGCACATGTACACCGGTCATAGACATAGAAGACACAGAAAGGCATCACACAAACAACCTTCCATCTGTCACTGCAGTGCAACCGTATATTACTGATATTCTAGGACATCTTGACTCCACCCGTACTGATCCTTTTTAGGTTTCCTGTACATGGGTGCATTTTCCAGTACACGATTGTGTTGGTGCTCTGGATGTCCTGTTACTACGTACAGCCGTCCATAGACATGAATGCAGCTATGCGTCACTACTTGTGCAAAGTGACACATGCGCACAGACATAATGTTCCAGACGCAGGTAATGTGCGTCTGGGGCGTTACATCTGTGAACACGCGCCACTTTACACAAGTAGAAGTGCACAGTGGCATATAGCTGTGTTCATGTGTATGGGCAGCTATACAAAGCACCAGAACATTGTGGGCGTCAAACGCGTTTACACTGTATGGGCAAATATGCCCATGTGCATGAGCCCTAAAGGTAGACATACAGTAAACAATCTGATTGTACACTGACATTACATTACATCGAGTTTATATAGCGCCAAAGGGTTTGCTCAGCGCTGTACAATAGAGGGGGGGACAATACATGAACAGTACAGCAACTACAAACAGCACACGAGGGGTTATAGGGCCCTACTCTTTCGAGCTTACAATCTAGGAGGGAGGGGGTAGTGGTACAGGAGGAAGTGGCTGTGGGGGATGGAGTGGTAGGAGGAATGAAGGAGAGTGGCAGTTAGGTGAGGGTGGGGTAGGCTTCACTGAATAGGTGGGTTTTCAGGGAGCACCTGAAGGTGAGGAGGGAAGGTGACAGTCTGATGGATTGGGGTAGTGAGTTCCAGAGGATGGGGGGGGAGGACCTGGAGAAGTCTTGCAGACGTGCGTGAGAGGAGGAGACCAGGGGGCAAGATAGAAGGAGGTCCTGTGAAGAGCGAAGGGTACGGGTAGGGTGATACCTGGGAATCAGGTTGGTGAGGTAGTTAGGGGCAGTGTTGCGAACGGCTTTGTAGGTCAGAGTGAGTAGTTTGAATTTGATGCGTTGGGCGATAGGGAGCCAGTGGAGGGATAGGCAGAGGGGGGTGGCAGAGGTGGAGCGGTTGGTGAGGTGGATGAGTCTAGCCGCTGAGTTCAGGATGGTCTGAAGCGGGGAGAGCCTGCACTGGGGTAGGCCGGTGAGGAGGGAGTTGCAGTAGTCCAGGCCAATCTACTTCATATTTACCAGAACAATATAATAGGAAGAGACACCCAATGTATCGAATCTGGTAGGCTCTAGGGTAGATCTAAAGGAGATTGTACAATCAGATTATTTAGTGCAGTCTTTTTCACCCAGGGTGCCTTGACGTCTCTTCAGGGGTGCCTTGACGTCTCTTCAGGGGTGCCTTGACAAAATGCCTAAATACTGGCCAAATCTTGTACACAAGTCAGCGGGTGGAACAAGACTGCCTTTTAGTTACACAAATCCACAGGTATTCATTATGCACCATTATGACCTTCTAGCCGCCAGCTTCCTGACAACCAATGACATCATCAGTTGATAAAGAGGATGTCGGTTACCTGCACAGCATCCTTGTTTGACCCTCCCTTGCCCCTCTATGTCAGTGCTGGGGTTACATCAGCTGATTGATGCAGGAAAAACTGGGGAGAAGAGAAACATTGGAATACTGGTCTGTACCAGTGCGCAAAAGTGTATTTGCTTAGGAAGAACAAATCACCTCTAATGTTGGGTGTGCTACATGTATGGATGTTGCTGTGTTATATAAAACTATTAGAATAGTCTTTTACATTTTAGAATGGGGTGCCTTGGGACTGTCCATAATTATACAGGTGCCTTGACGTTGTCCATAGTTTTAAAAGGGTGCCCTGATTAAAAAAAGGTTGAGAAACACTGGTTTAGTGTATGGTGAGATTTAGAGCTCGGTTATCTGCCAGAAAGCTGATTGCTAAATGGTGGCTTTCACAGTTCCCAACTTGTCTTGGGAACTGATGGATCCTACCTCCTTCCACCAGTCTTGAGGACTGGTAGACGGAGATACGCCAGCTGCTTGCGTATAAAAAAACAAATGTATTTGGGTCTAGGAAATTGTCTAAATTTAAATAAATCTGGTCTACTGAATTGGAAAAGTAGACCATTCCTTACTAATTGATACTGTGTAGATACCATTCTTATAATTTTACTACAATGCTTTCCAATAGTGAGACCAACACAACCAAGAGAAGCAGCAGGTCAGCAGATACATACTAAGAAGAAGGTCCTGCACCAACAGCTGCAAGGATCATTGCCTGAATCACTCACAAATCAGCCAGACTGGGCAACAAAAATGTTTATGGTCAGTTTCAATGGGTGCAGCTGTGCATAATAACCAATCATCTTTTAACTTCAGCTTGTTCAATTAAGCTTTGACAATAAAACCTGGAAGCTGATTGGTTACTATGCACAGCTGCACCAGATTCTGTGTGCACCAGTTTTAGTAAACCTCCCCCCATGTGTGCACAGGGATAGAGGTATACCACTTATCTGTGCTTGTACACAAGTAAACATTCGGATGTGCAATTACCAGCATACAGCCTCTGCCTGTCATTGATCTATACAGACTGTATGCAATCACCGTTCACTCCCAGACACAGAGATGAGTTCCTTTTTTCATGGTGTATGGCTCTTGGAGCCATGTGAATGAGCCTGAATGGGAAAAAACTCCCAAAAACCTCCTAGAAGGGCAATTGTTGAGCAAGGGTCCTTTCACACAGCGCGGATCTGCTTGCTCAGTGGAGGATCTTTCCGCTGATCCCTGCTGAGCAAGCGGATGACAGGTCTGTGTCTGCTGCGCTGCTGCAGAGCGGGCACAGGGAAGCTCACTGTCCTCAATGGGCAGTCGGATGGAAATGGACCGCCTATCCATTTCCGACAGATGGAAGGGGAATTGGATCCTCATCTGTCTCTTTTTTGTGGGTCGGATCAGATTTGATGTTGGCGGGTGTAAACGGACACATGTCCGTTTACACCCACCACTCCATAGAGGAGAATGGGGGTTCCGATCGGGTCTGCCTGAAAAATGGGCAAGCCCGACCCAATCAGCCCAAGTGATCTCCTGCTCTCATCCAAATCTTTGAAGGAGGAGAGAGATTAATCATTAATAGCTTCTGCTAAAAGTATAAACTGCAGCATTGTGCGATTGGGAAAGATCAGTCACTGAGTTGCCCTACTTATTCTCTTATGTAGCAGCTTACATTATGCAAACAAAGAGATCGGTCTCATGACATTTCAGGAGTGTGATTGAGCCACCAAAAGTCTTCTATGTAATCTCAGCCTTTGAGTAATCATGTGAGAAACAGATGTTTGCCTGTGAGTACTTAGGAACACTTCACATACCTTAAAACATATACAAAACACAGGAGTAGAGCAATGCCGGGAGATCCTGGTTGTACAGCGATACAAACAAGAATCTGAATACTGGTTATTCTCAATGGGATGCCTCTCTTCTTTGTGTCCAGCCTTTATCACTGTAATGGTGCATAATCCACCTCCACTGGACTTTTATGAGAGTAAAGGGCACATTCACACCAGAAACTGCAAGTAGCTGCTCATTTTTTCCTTGTACCTATGCATGCATTTGATGCGTGTTTTACATACAGTTGATGCTCATTTTTCTAAATGCATTTGTCCTGTGAGGTCACTTTCTTCTTTCTTTCATTGGCCTTCTATGTGCACTGTAATGCATTGCAGTGCATTTGCATGCGTTTTTGCATGTTTGCAATGTGGAAAAATGTTGCATGCTGGACTTTTCTGCACTGCAGTGCAATGGCGTGAACTATGCTCATAGGATAGCCTGGATATTGGACTGTCTATGCAGATGGAGTGCAGTCCAAAATGCATCCAACTGCAACCATTCCACTGCGTTTGGTGTGAAAGGGCCCTAAAGCTTTCCTAGAAGCAACAGTAGAAAACCTGCACTAAAATAAATATGTGGGGTGCCATTGCTAACCTCTCATTTTGAAAATCACATGTCTGGCTATCATGCTAATCCAGTAGGCAGATAAAACAGACACAGCTATAACCAGCTATGTATTCATTCATTTTTAAATGCAACTAGTGCAAGTACCTGAATTTGGCCTGTTATCAGCCTCTTGCAATGTCCTGTACAGTAGAGCACAGACTGAGAGAGCCATCAGTTGTTTTGCAGTGCTCATTTGCTAACAAGAAACATGCTGATAGGAGGAGAGAGCAGAGTGTCGAAGAGATAAGGTCATCAGTCTGCTGCTTCTTTTTTCACTGTTCATTCACAGACTGGGAGAGGAACATGACCTGAAAGTGTTACTGAACTAAAAC